GTGGACGTCAAGGGACGTGGTGGGACATCATGGGATGTGGTGGGACATGGTAGGTTGTCATGGGATGTGGTGGACATCATGGGATGTACAATGTCACGGGACACTGTAGGACGTCCCTGGACGTTGTGGGACGTCRAGGGACGTGGTGGGACCAGGTGGGACCATCATGGGACGTGGTGGGATGCCAAGGGACATGGTGGGACATCATGGCACGCGGTGGACATTATGGGATGCACAACGTCACAGGACGTCGCACCATGTCATGGGACGCTGTAGGACACCACGGGGTGTTGTACAACGTCACAGGACATCGTGGGACGTCACGGGGTGCCACAGGACGCCCCAAAACTGTATGTGACACATGGGCCACCAAGGGCCACCGGGGCCCACCGGATGTCACCCGATGTCACCCGATGTCACCCGATGCCCGGGCGCCGCTGTCACCTTGTGGTCCTTGCCGTCCACCTCGTACACGGAGATGTTGCCCTTGCGGTAGATCTCCCTGCCCGGCGGCTGCCGCCACTGGCACTGCGCCTGGGGACAAGCGGCGACGGTGACGCGCGGTGACGGTGACGGTGACACCCCGTGGTGATGGTGACACCCCGCGGTGACGGTGACACCCTCACCAGGTGCACGCGGTCGGAGCGCTCCAGCTCCATGTCCTTCGGGCACAACTCGCACACCCCCACACCCGGTGACACCCACACCCGGTGACGGTGACACCCTGCGGTGACGGTGACACCCCCGTGGTGACGGTGACACCCTCACCAGGTACAGGCGGTCGGAGCGCTCCAGCTCCATGTCCTTCAGGCACAGCTCGCACACCCACACACACGGTGACACCCACACGGTGACACCCACACACCCGGTGACGGTGACACCCTGCAGTCACGGTGACACCCTCACCAGGTACAGGCTGTAGGAGCGCTCCAGCTCCATGTCCTTCAGGTACAACTCGCACACCCACACACACGGTGACACACGGTGACGGTGACACCCGGTGACAGTGACGCGTGGTCGCGGTGACGCACACCCTCACCAGGTACAGGCGGTCGGAGCGCTCCAGCTCCATGTCCTTCAGGCACAGCTCGCACACCCCCACACCCGGTGACACCCACACGGTGACACCCACACACACGGTGACGGTGACACCCCGCAGTCACGGTGACACCCTCACCAGGTACAGGCGGTCGGAGCGCTCCAGCTCCATGTCCTTCAGGCACA